TTAGAGTACTCTATGTGTCTGGATAATATTACTAAAGAATTGTATGATAACCCTGAATTGTATATGCCACTTCAATCATTTTGCATGACGAACAAGCAGGTACAAGATCCATGCGGAACGACGCTTGTCATCCCCGCAGGGACAGGGTGTGGAAAGGAAGTCGTCTACGGTAAAGGAAGAGAAGCTCCGATACCCGACCACTTCTTGGAAGAGGAAGACGATGATGATAAACCTGCTCCTCACCTATTTAGGTATGACGCGAAAGCGCGCGATCTAATGGAGAAGTATGGATATGACTTCACACTCGGAGAAGGTCTTTGCTTTGGTCGAGGTCCACGAGTTCCACCTCGAATGGCCTATGTACCAAAAGGAAAACCTGACGACTATTATCGCTATAAGAGAGGTCTAGGTTATGTCTCCTCATCTGACGACGAGTGTTGCTGGCAAATCATCGATCAAATTGCTAACAAAGCTAGAAATGGATACTCGTCTGATTCTTCAGCTTGGGATTCCGACACTAGTATCGGTGAAATGTTTAAAAAATTGATGTCAAACATGGTTACGGTCGATCCTGCCACAATAGAGGAAGACGATCAGATGCCGACTTGGGAAGACCCTTGGGTTCATCACTTGAATATGCAGTACGGTGATAGGTTTGAGCAAAGGGAGCCTCCTACCGAAGATCAAGTACTTCAGGTGAATATGGGTAGTGAAGATAATCCGAAACCTATATTCATTAGCGATAGCCTCCCGCCGGAAGAGAAAGAAGAGTTAATCTCTCTTATCAGGGAGTACATCGATGTGTTCGCCTGGAATTACGAAGATATGCCAGGACTCGACCCAAACGTAGCAGTACATCGTCTCAATATTAAGCCGGATGTCAAGCCTATCAAACAGCAACAAAGACGGTTTCGTCCGCAAATGATGGAGGCAATCGAGGCCGAAGTCAAAAAGCTTATCGATTCGGGTTTCGTCAGGGAAGAGCAACATCCCGAATGGCTTGCCAATATCGTCCCAGTCCTTAAGAAGAATGGGAAAATCAGAATTTGTATCGATTTTAGAGACCTGAACACTGCATGTCCCAAAGACGATTTCCCTCTTCCCATCACGGACGTTATTATTGACAATACGTGCGGATTCGAGAGAATGTCTTTTATGGACGGGTTCTCTGGTTATAATCAGATAAAGATGCATCCAGATGATGAAAAGCATACCGCGTTTAGAACACCCCTTGGTGTTTTTTGCTACACAGTTATGCCCTTCGGTTTGAAGAATGCAGGAGCCACATATCAGAGAGCCATGTCAAAGATTTTTCAAGAGCATCTCCGAAAGACTGTCGAATGTTACGTGGACGATCTAGTCGTAAAAAGTCGTGACAAGAATGATCACATCAAAGATTTAAAGACTATGTTCGATCTAATGCGGACTCATCAATTAAAGATGAATCCTACCAAGTCATTCCTCGGAATGTCCAGTGGCAAGTTTCTTGGATTCGTCGTCACCACCAAGGGTATTCACATCGATCCTGACAAAGTGAAGGCGATTAACGAATTGCAACCTCCGAGAAACCTTAAGGAGCTCAGAGGACTACAAGGACGGTTGGCTTATATCCGTCGGTTCATTTCGAATCTCTCGGGAAAATGCCAACCATTCTCCAAGCTCACAAAGAAGGGCGTGTCATTCGTATGGGACGACGCTTGTCAAAAGGCATTCGAAAGTATTAAAGAATATCTCTCAAAACCTCCCGTACTCGTCGCACCGAAATCAGGCAAACCGTTCTTGATTTATGTCAAGGCGACGAGCCACTCATTAAGTGCACTACTTGCACAAGATGACGATAACGGTCACGAACAGGCAGTATATTACCTGAGCCGGACCTTGGTAGGTGCCGAATCTCGGTATCCGATGATTGAAAGGGAGTGTCTCGCCTTAGTTTTCGCCATCCAAAAAATGCGACACTACTTGGTAGGACAAACTATCTACGTTATCTCTAATGTTAACCCAGTCAGAATATTCATGACGCAGCCTGCTTTCATGAATTGGCGGTTAGCGAAATGGGCTTTGCTTCTGTCCCAGTACGACCTACATTTTAAACAACAAAAGTCGGTCAAGGGACAAGCTATTTCATAGTCGATGATCGGGAGACGCCAGTCTTCTTGATTAGGCTGATCTGGCGTTTGATGAGTGGTGTTCGCCTCCGGGACGTCTTTTAGTCGAAAGAGTTTTCGGCTGGCGACTGTGACCCTTTGGGCCGTCCCCAAAGGCTGGGCCAAATTGGTTGCCAAGGATGCGAGGGCATCTGCATGAGTGTTCCTGGAGCGGAGCACGTGCTCAATGCGGAAACTCTCGAATAACTCCACCAGTCTGACGGCCGCTTTGTGGAGTGGGATGAGATCTTCATTCCTGACTTCATATTCGCCAGTCATTTGTTTGACAATGAGTTGCGAATCGCCATAAGCCTCCAGATGCTTTATCCCGAGCTCTTTGGCTAACTCGAGCCCTATGAGCAACGCGTTGTACTCGGCTACGTTGTTGGTACATGGTTCCGTCAAGGAAAAGGCCCGGGGAAACACGTGACCATGCGGGGAGGTGAGGGCCACTCCCACTCCTGCAGAAATAGAGCCGCTCGCGCCTGCGCGGGACGCACCGTCGAAGAACATCTGCCACACCTCTGGCGACGAAGTCATATTGGCTTCGGGAGGTTCATCCGGCAGATCTTCGAATAGATCGGTCTTCTCCCCCAGCGGGTGACTAGCCATGAGATCGCAGATGGCTTGTCCCTTGACTGATTTCTGCGGCATGAAATGGATGTCGTATTGAGAGAGCAGAAGTGCCCATCTGGCCAGACGCCAGTTCAACGCTGCAGGTTGTGTCATGAAGACCCGAATGGGGTTCATTCGAGAAATGACATGGATTGTCTGGCCGACCAAGCAGTGCCGCATCTTTTGGATGGCGAACATCAAGGCTAAGCATTCCTTCTCGACCATTGGGTACCGTTGTTCGGCGCCCTGCAAGGTTCTGCTCAGGTAGTAGATGCCTTGTTCATGACCTGCATCATCGTTTTGAGCCAAGAGGGCACCTAGAGAGTGTTCCATAGCCCGTATGTATATGAGGAATGGCCTCCCTGAGACTGGCGCCGCAAGGACAGGCGGATTTGAGAGATAAGCTTTGATCTCTTCAAAGGCCTTTTGGCACGGCTCATCCCAGACGAAGGAGGTACCTTTCTTCATCAGCTTAGAGAAGGGTTGGCACTTGCCCGAGAGATTCGAGATGAATCTTCGGATATAAGCCAGTCGTCCTTGAAGGCCTCTCAGCTCTTTAAGATTTCGGGGTGGTTGGAGCTCTTGAATAGCTCGCACCTTGTCTGGATCAATTCGGATCCCTTTCGTCGTGACGACGAAACCGAGGAATTTACCGCTAGACATTCCCAAGAATGACTTGGTAGGATTCATCTTGAGCTGATGAGTCCTCATGAGTTCGAACATAGCCTTCAAGTCTTGGAGGTGATCCTCCTTATGGCGACTCTTCACGACCAAGTCGTCCACATAGCATTCGACCGTCTTTCACAAATGATCTTGAAAGATCATGCTCATGGCGCGCTGGTAGGTTACGTCGGTGTTCTTGAGTCCGAAAGGCATGACGGTATAGCAGTACACCCCCATGGGAGTTCTGAATGCAGTGTGC